TTTTAACAATTTTATAAGTATCTAAGTGAAGTAGTTTTTGTCATCCTGGAAAATTCACTTTGAAAGAATTACATGTTTCCTTGAGAGAGTTCAAGAACTAAAATGTTAAGCATGAAAATGAAGAGAAAATTTGTAATTATTTATTTTGGTCCCTCCGGAAAAAAAGAATGTTAACTTAAACGTTAAAATACAAACACTTCAATGTAGCGGAAGTTTTATTACATCACAATTTTGGTCTCGTATTGAAAAAACTATTTCCTTTTAATGTAATAAAACCTAAGGGCGGAATTACAAAACATCCCAAAGAAGCAAAAATTAGTAGTTATTTTTTTAATCTCTCCAAAAAGAAACTCCCTTGTGGTAGACTTACACGTTTAGAGAATGATAACACTGTCGTTTTGTTTATTGGGTGTGCTAGCGGCTCTGAAAGCGTTGGGAAGGATTATACTCGCGGATCTAAACCCATATCCCCCGCGCTCAGAAGAAGAAAAGGAAGCCCACCCGAGTGTTTGTCTACGGGTGGCTTGGTTTCACCGCGATCGTTTTCACAGCGGAGTCTCAAGCGGGTATTCTGCCGGGTGCAGGAATAAAATATGTCCTTTGGTAAGCTAGGGCTTCTCGTACGCTATTGTGTAATTTATACAGCCTTGTCAGAAAGATTTTTGTCTGAAAGCTGTGACGAGGGAAAGAAAGAGAAGATTTGGGTTTTTTGTTCTAGAAAGGTGCTCTATCTTTCTTTTTTTACGCAACACGCTTGGGGACATGACATGCTTTTTTCTGTAGCTTTCAATGTTTGTGTGTCTATTTGTGGTTGCAGAAATTCTGTAGATTGTCTGTCGCGTAGTGTGCTCTTGTTTGCTGACTTGCCGAAATTGTCTGTTCTCACCCTCTCTCTCTCTCTCTGCACGGAACGCTCATCGAAGAGAACTTGATCCAAACACATGGGCCGCCATGTTTACAGCACGCCTACATAATATGTGCATTACGTCAGCAGAATGCTGTTGTCTCACAGCGCCGTGATGGTGGTGGTGGTGGTGTGTGTGAGTGTGTTTGTGAGTGTGTTCGTGTATTTGTCAGTTTCTTTGCCTTTTTTGGCTCATTACAATTTGATGCAAGTCGTGTACTAATTACTTTGTTGAAAACGATTCGGTGCCAAGGTGAGCAACAAACAACTACTTTTACATTTGTTTTTATATAATTTCCTGATCCAGCCTCTTTCGTTTTCTATAGGCCTACAGTATATTACACCAAGGCTAGGGCTCAGTCTATGAAAAGAGCACCATTTTATTCTAATTCAGAACTGTTTTGATCAAGATTTTGGATGTTGTTGGTTTATTAACATAACAGAACACCGTACGAAAAAAACCCCGGAGTGCTATGACAATAGAAAGTAAAAGAAAGAAACAGGGCTTTATTTATACAACTTTAATTTATCACGTTAAAGTCAGTAAAATATCTTCTGAACAACTGCAGGAACTCCTGTCTGTCTCTGCGCTAGTCTTTACGACAGAATGCTTAAAAAGCTACAGTTATGTAAACGAAAATGAGCTGACGGTATTTACTCAGTGTTTCAAACTCCAGTTCCTCTTTAAATCACGGGTGACGGGTTCGCTTTAAGGCGGTGTATGTCTCGAACCGCTCAAGTTCGGAGTGTTTCGAGTTCCCTTTTTTGCCCCATTCAACTCAGCAAGGGGTTTCTCTGTCGTGCCTCGTAAAGACCACGAGTCTTTTACTTATAGAATTTGTATTTTAGCTGCACGATCTAAACACTTGAATGCAGCTGAATAAGTGAATAAATAAATAAATA